TAGAGACGGGGTTTCACCATGTTGACCAGGATGGTCTCGATCTCTTGACCTTGTGATCCACCCGCCTCGGCCTCCCAAAGTGCTGGGATTACAGGCTTGAGCCACCGCGCCCAGCCTTAACTAATGTTTTAAACAAGAAAAAGGAAATGTAAAAAAGTCTTACATCTTTTATCTTTGGCTACTTTTACTTAATAATCTCTCCTTTCCAGCCCCCTCAAGACCTATTATATTTTCCTTACCCCTAGCATCTTCAGTGTCAGACTCAGTAGCTCCCAGTTCACGACCTTTTAACCCCTCCTCCTTGGACTGTAAGAATAATTTGCATTCAGTATCGCAGAGGAATGACATGCATATATGTTCTGGAGTTAAGCTGTCTGAAACTCACCTCCAACCCCTTATCAGCTATGAGTCCTTATGCATGACAACCCCTACAAGCCTCAGTTTCCTCCTCATCATTGGGTTCTTGTGAGACTTAAATTTATTTGAGCACAGTTAAATACCTGACACAAAAGAAGTACTCAATAAGTATTAGCTAGTCCAACTATTCAGGTGAAAGCAAATTAAGACTGACATGGAGGACATCATTACTGGCAAGTCTCATGCTATGTGTTGGTGTATGAACCATGGACAATGATATGGATTTTTCAGATCTTTATAATATCCACAATTACTATAAGCTTCTCCTAATCATAATTAAAACAGCCTCTTCTAAACTTTCTGTCATCATTTTGGAAAATGAACAAAAAACATGTTTCTTGGCATTACAACTCTATCAGGATATCATACAATAAGTGGAGGGTGCTTTCTTGAATACACTAGTTTGAGAAGCCTCTGAGGCATCCGGGGGAGCTAACTAGCATGCAGTTGGATATGCTCATCTAGAGGGCAGGAAAGAGACCTGGGAATAGCTATGGATTTTAGAGCCATCAGCATATGTAGACACTGGGCTGGGCCACAGGAGTAATGCCTTCTGGGAAAAGCTCACAGTGTGTAAGAAATAGAGCACTGATTGTAGACTTTCATCTTCTATTAAAATTTTAAGGTTTAATTTTTTATTTAAGAGAGAATGGGATGAGGGAAAGAAGATGACCTATTTGTCTCTCAATATGGTAAATGATTCTGAAAAGACAGAATATGCAATATATTTTCCATTTGCTCTCTTATAGGTATACTCTTACCTTTGTCCTATTATTTGCTCTGGGATGCTGATCGTTATGAACTATATCAACAGGGCTCCAATGCCCTCTGGTTTCTGTTTGGGTTTGGTTACTGAAGAACACTAATAGGAGATTAGAGAATTAGAGGAGAGTGAAGTCAGAGTATTCATTCTCCTGCTCCAATCCTTAGTGGCTTCCCTAAAGTTGGCCATACGCATGAGCGAAGGTTACATCTTTCTGCTATGGTCTGATTGTTTTTGTTCCTCCAAAATTCATAGATTAAAATTCTAACTCCCAAGGTGATGGTATTTGGAGACGAGGCTTTTGGGTGGTGATGAAGTCACAGGGTTGGAGCACTCATGAATGGAATTAGTCTCCCAATAATAGAGGCTGAGCGAGAACCCTCCTTCCACTATGTGAGGACGCAGTGAGACAATTCCACCTTTGAACCAGAAAGTAGGCCCTTACCAGACACTGAATGTGTTGGCACTTTGATGCGGACTTCCCAGCCTCCAGAACTGTGAGAAATAAATTTCTGTTGTTTATAAGCCACCCAATCTATGATATTTCAGGATAGCAGCCAAATAGACTAAGAAACTTTCTAAATGGCAAACTTCAGTTCTAGGCACAAAATCTCAGAGGCTACTATCTCTAGATTACTGTACTCTCTTGTAGTTCCCTGTACCTTTATAAATAAAATTTATTCAAATTGTCCTATTTTTAATTTGTTACTCCATATTATACAACGTTATGAATTAGGTAAAAATCTAACCAAAGTAAACCACTGAAGATACTTTTTTTCTCATTGTCCTGGTTCTCATTGTCTTGTGAAAAAAATTATTTATTCATTATTTTATATTTATTTACATTTAAGTCACCAAACATTTTTAAGAAAATATTAGCAGTATGAATGGGTTTGTCTTAATTTTCTTGAGGAAAATCTCTTCCTTTTTGTACAAATTACAGACAGAGTAATCATTCCCAATGATTATTCATTCCCAAGTCCCATCGTCAAGAAATGAGATACAAGAAATTTGTATAATTTCCAGTAAACATTGTCAAGAAATGTTAGACACCATTGTTATAAAGTCTTGGAGTGTCCACTTGTGCATGGAACAAATTAAGCAATAATAATAGCTCCTCAGGTGAAAGCAAATGAAATCAAAGTGAGTGAGCATATGGGGTAGCATTGTCCAATAGAAAAATGATACAAGTCACATATAAAATTTTAAATTGCCTAGTAGGCACATTTTTTAAAGGTGAAAAGAATCATGTGAAAGTAATTTTTTAGTAGTATATTTTTATTTAACCCAATATGTCCAAAATATCACCTCAACTTGCAATAAACACTATTAATGTGATATTTTACATTCTTGTTATTTGTGCTAAGTCTTCTGAAGCTGGTGCGTATTTTACATGTGTAGCACATTTCAATTCATACTAGCCACATTTTGAATATTCAGTAACCACAGACAGCTAGTGGCTACCATATTGGAGAGTACAGGGAGCTGTGGCCACTGAGAGTTGGGCAAACATAGAATGAAGTAAATAAATGTGCCAAATAGCTACAGAGTACATATTGTTTGTAGACCACAGTATTAGATGTTTGAAGATCAATCCAAAAGTAAAGGATATGAATTGGATATGAATCTCAGACTACAGTGCAAAAAACAACTTCCTTTCTCATTCATAGTTGTTTTCAATTTCTTTTACAAATTTTTTTTCTTTCCATGAAAGTAGCTTACCCTTCCTCTCCTTGAAATTGTGTTGAGAGGATGAGGCTTGGAGGAATGTGTCATCTGGTCCTCTGTTGTCATCTGCTGGGATGTACATACTTTGGTCTTTCTGGTCCTCAGTCATTTATCCTTCGTTCAGGTAAATTGCTCATGTTTGTTTTTCATTCCACGTTCTCATTGAGCGCTAAGTCTAGTTTCCTCTTACCTATCCAGAAAGTAGTCTCTTCCTCCAATCTGAAGCCAGCTGTTAGTTTTTACCTTATAGAAACCATGGGAACCTGTGAGGTCGCCTTAGAGTCTTTTGTCTAGACACACTACAAGACCATTTTTTCTCATCCTGTACTCTAGTTTCAGGGTTATCTAGGCCCTTATTAGTTCTGGGGCATTGCCCTGGGAGGAGGTTGGAGGATGGGAAGGACAGGGCATACTGTCTCTTTGCTCTCAGATCTAGACTTTGAATCTGACTGATGACATATTCTTCTAGCCTTTCCAAATAATGTCCGGTCTTGACCTTAACTTTTGAAAGTCCAAAGTCAAGACTTCAACTCTTAGTGTCAGAACTCTTATGATGACAACTCCTCCCTGAGGCAGTAAACATAAAATAGTTTAGCTACAGTTTGCATGGAAAAAGTGTTGTGGTGTAGCAGGAAATGTTACTTTTACAGAAATAATTTATGACATAGTTTATAATCTATTTTAGAATGATTTATAGAATTGTTGCCAACTTTATTGAGGTATAATTGATAAATAAAAAAATGTAAATATTTAAGGTGTACAACATGATGTTTTGATATATATACATTGAAAAGTGATGACTGCAATCATGTGAACTAATATACCCACACATATATTCATTACATGGATCTATTAATAGTAATTATATGAGATTACCATTTTGTTAATGTATACTTATACTTAGTAGCAATATTATGGATTACTTTTAAATTATTATGGAAACCATAATATGGAAATGAAAGAGAATGTCATTATCTATTAAGGTATAGGAAAACAATTTGAAAGAGATTAAGTCAAAGATTGCACTAAGAGTAATTACAATAATTAGTATAATATTCACAAAATGGTAACCTCACATAGTTACTATTTTGCGTATACGATGAGAACATTTAAGATCTATTCTCTTACCAAATTTCAAGTGTACAATGCTGCATTGTCAACTGGAGTACCACGATATACAATATATCTCCAGGACTTAGCCATCCCACCTAAATGAAACTTTGTAACCTTTGACCCTGATGTCTTCATTTTCCTCATCCCCCAACTATAGATTTTTTTTTTAAATTCTTAGGTGTTAGTCAGAAAAAGATACTGTTTAATGAGAATTTTATTCCACTTAGCTCAGTACAACCAATTAAATTGATGGTTAGAAGTCAATAAAAAAGAAATGGCATTTCTCCTATGTCCATTAAAAAGCAAAACATCAACCACTGCACAATCAGTTCCTTAAATGTTAAGTAATTACTGTTCTGCTGCTCTGAGGTTAATGAGTCGTCTTTTACTAAGTCATTTGCCAAAGGACAAAAACAAAAGAAAGCCTTGATATGACTTCAGTAGACCTGAGGTGGGACCTGAGATTCTGCCTTTCTTACAAGCTCCTAGGTGATGATAACAATACTGACACAAGTCATAAAAAGAAGTACTCTCACTATAGTATTGAGTAGCTGGAAATATGGAGCTGCTATTTTTTTTTTTCTAGCATTCTTCTTAGTTACATGAGAGAGCAAATCTTTGCCATTACCCAGAAATGGAAATGTTGAGAAAACATTGAAAATAGTTTTTATGTAAAGGACACACTAAAAGTTTTATTATTCTAAACCAGGGGTATGGATTTGTCAAAGGAAATCTTTAAAATATTTTTAAAAGCGCAAAATTTATGAAAATATAAATACAAGAAATCATTGCAGATTTGATTCAGAGTTTTATATATATATATATATATATATATATATATATATATATATAATCAGCATAGCAACAAATAGCAAGAATCATTAAAAACTCTAAACTTTGCAAAAGTGAGCCTTTTGTTATCGTACCTAGGAGCTGAAAGAGGCTAATTCAATTTGCTGGCAGAATTCAGTCCCACCTGCTTGTGATCCTGAGATTCTCCCTTCTTGTTAGCTATGAGCTGAGGGCCTTTCTCAAATTCCAGAGGGCACCATATTCCTTATTCATTTCTAAAGACTCATGTCATTAGATTAGGCCCATCTGGATAATCCATGGTAGTCTTTCCTTTTCAAAGCCTTCAGTATTAACCGAATTTGCAAAATCCTTTTTGACATGCAAAGTAACACCTTACTTCTGTGGACTAGGGTGCTGACACCTTTAAGGGACTGTTTTTCTGCCTACCATGAAGCAGGAGAAACAGATCTCTCAGACACCAAACTAGGAAGGAGGAGGTGTTTTATTACGCCCGGGAGTGAGGTGACATGTTTTGTCTAACAGCCAAGCTCGTTTAACAAAGAGAAGCTCTGCCTTTATATACGCTTACAATACTAGATATTACACATGAAAGGGTCTTGGGTTTACAATTTTAGAAATTACATGTGAAAGGGTCTTCGGTTTACAGTTTTAGAAATTACATGTGAAAGGGTCTTGGTCGATGGAGTAGGAGTTGGGTAGGGGTTTGATCTTGTTTGAGTAAAAACAATGCCTTCCAGAGAGTTTCCCCCATACTATGCCTGCTATCTACAGGAAGGCGATTTAGGAGGTGCCAGTCCCTTTTCTTCTATTGAAATGCAGTGTGGGAGTCAAGGAGGAGGTGATCTTAGATGTTCGGGTCTCCTTCCTCAACTACACATGGACAACGCAAAGACATTGGAATAATGGTAGCTTTATCTCTTCCTCGGTTAAGTGAAGAAGTAGAAGTAATGATTTTCATGGAAGAAAATAGTTTGATGGTTAAAATCACAGCAAATCTTCAGTGGAGTTAGTGCCTGGTAAGGGACATTAAGGGGCTTCTGAGAATCTGGATGTTGGTTACTTGAATGCGTAGACACATTCATGTAACAGCTGAACATACATGATTTGGGGACTTTCTGTATGTATATATGTTTTGTTAAAGGGTTTATTATTAGCAGAACGGGTGTGGCTGTGATCCCAGCATTTTGGGAGGCCAGCGTGGGCAGATCACAATGTCAGGAGATTGAGACCATCCTGGCCAACATGATGAAACACTGTCTCTACTAAAAAAATACAAAAATTAGCTGAGAGTGGTGGTGCATGCCTGTAATCCCAGCTACTCGGGAGCCTGAGGCTGGAGAATTGCTTGAACCCAGGAGCGGAGATTGCAGTGAGCCAAGATCGTGCCATGGCATTCCAGCCTAGTGACAGAGTGAGACACCATCTCAAAAAATAAAAGAATTTCTTTTAAAAAATCAAAGGAATCACTCAAAATATTCTCTTCATTGATATGTGGTTTATGCATAGAGTTGGTGAGTTAAAAAATGTATATGGAACTTTAAATACTTCTTTTAATTAAAAAAATTGTCATCAAATTTTCTAAAATTTCATTCTATTTCAGATTTTGATATTTGAGTAATTAGTGAGTGACTGAATAACATGATAGATAAATTCATGTAGATTTTTTTGAGAATAAGAAATCTATAAAGACAACTTACTCTTGTTTTTAAAGGATATAATTCTTTCTAGTCAAAGAATTAACACAAACCATCTGGGCATACCAAGATCAATTAAATAATGTTCTTGTCCATAAGGAGCTAATGAGAAATTAATCTGTTACAAATACTTATAATTCAATGAGACTAGCACTTCAATAGAAGCATATATAAAATATACTGGTAACCTGTTTGTCTTAGTTCATTTTCTGCTGTGATAACAGAATACCATAGATTGGGTAATTTATAAAGAAGAGTATATTTGGATCATTGTTCTGGAGGCCTGGAAGTCCAAGATCAAGGGGCTGCACTGGATAACGACCCTCTTGCTCCATCATAATGTGGTGGAAGAGCAAGTGAACATGAGAGACAGAGAGAAAATTAGACTATGTTCCTGGTTTTGTCCGGAACCCACTCCTGCAATAATTACATTAATTCATTCGTAAGGGCAGAGCCCTTATAGCCTAATAACCTCTAAAAGGTCCCACTTCTTAATGCCGTCAATTACATTTCAACGTGAGTTTTTCAGAGAACATTCAAACTAGAGCACCAATTAAAGGAGCAACTAATTCTATTTTAAGAGTCACGAGAATGAGAATAACAGTTATGGAAAGCTACAAAAATATTTTCTTTGAACTAGGCCATAAAGAATAAGTTAGTATTTTCAGGTAAAGAAAAGTCAGAAGAGTTTGGTTGGCAAGCTAAAGATAGCCATCTAATTTTGACCTGCTGAAACACCACCAGAATTACAGTAAATGTTTTTTCTTAAATGTGTGACCCCACAATGATAGGGAGAGCAGAGGAAGAGACAACAGCAACAACACAATTTAGTTATCAGAACCTAGACAATTTGCTTAGCAGATCTCAGAATGCCAGTCCTCAAACCTCAGTGAAGAAAGCTAAGAAAAAGCTCATTTTACACCCCTGAAACTTGAAGGGCTAGTAACTTGAAGGTCCTAGTGGCAAACAGGTGCAGCTCACATGAGGAGGACTAAGGTGAAAACACTTAGAAAAGTTAGAAATCTAGATCATTCTACTCCCCTTCTGAACCACTTCTGATTGACTTCTCTCCTACTCAGTAAGAAATCTGTAAGTGTATTCTCTATTGAGGGTAAAATAGAGGATCTCTGACATTAGGCGCAGGTGACAATGTGACTACTCTACTCTGAAAATAGAGTAATTAGAGACCACATGCCTCCCAAAAGTTAGTGCAGAAATCCTTAGTTCTGTCATACAACTTGTGTCCAGATAATGGCAGCCAGTCCAATATTCTCCAGAGAGGAAAATAAATAATTCTTCACTCTGTAAACTGATCATCTCGAGGAGGAAGACATTTAAAAAATATCCAATAGATGGCATGACAGTGAAACTCCAAGTTAACAAGTTTTTCCATAGTTTTAGAGCTTCCAAATATTTTTTCTCACTTTCCTTATGAACAGACCTAAAGATTCTACTCAGTTTATTTTTTCTTAAGAGCCTCTATCTAATTGTGAACAAATATTGTATTATCTTTACTTTTCCAGGCTTATGCTATATTTAAACATATATACTGGGGTAAACTTAAAAAGAAACAGTAATGAAACGTGAACCATAAGGCAAGGAAATTATAATAGAAGAAACATAATAGCAAAAAAAATGTAATTGTAATAAAATTATAATACTCTATGCTACAGAAGCAAATTACCCCATATTAGTTTGCTAGGATTGCCATAACAAAATACAACACACTGTATGACTAAAACAACAAAATGCTCTTTATTTCCTCACAGCTCTGGGGGCTAGAATTCTGAAATCAAGATGTTGGCAGGTTTGGATTCTTGTGAGGGCTGTGAAGACAGAATCTGTTCCAGGCTTTCTTACTGGCTTATAGATGATTGACCTGATGTTCACACAGTATTCTCACTATGTGTATGCCTGTGTCCAAATTTCCCCTTTTTATAAGGATAGCAGTCATATTGGATTAGAGGTCCATCCTACTCCAGTTTTATCTCATCCTATTACCTCTACAATAACCCTATTTCCAAATAAGGTCAGATTCTGACATACTGGAGATTAGGTTTTAAATATGAATTTTTGGGTGGGCACAATATGACCCATAACAATCACCAAATCACAATGGCTGGAGAAAATAAGTTTTTCACTTACATATTGTGTCCTGCAAGTCAGACAGCCACCTTTCATTCTGTAGCTCGATGTGTGAGGAAAAAAAGTGGCCTCACCAAGGATGGACAGCAGGTCAACAGCAGAATGAAGGGGACACACCAGCTCTACCACCTCGGCCCAGGAGAGACACAAATCACTTCCGCCTCCCATTGACCAGAGCTAGTCACATGCCCCAATCTAACTGCAAGAGGTATCAGAGTGGATATTTAGTGAGCTGAATGGGCCGGAATTGGGCACACAATTCATTCCCAGGCAACCCAGTCAGACTTTTACCTGATTAATTTGAACTAAGAGACATAGATTGTATCCAGTAAGAACGTAATGTGTAGCAGTTTATGTGACCACCTGTCAAGAGGGCTTTGTGCCAAGTGCATGCTGTTAAGGCAGAGAAAGCAATCCTACAGAACAAGGAAGAGCATGGAATAGAATAAAAAAGTAGAGGAAAAATGAGAAAAGTAAATGACTGTGGAGCTATGTGAGGCTAATTCTATGATAATCATCTAACTCTTTGAAATAAACATTCTCATTCAAGCAATAGACAATATATCCAGTTGCCTTTATATGCTCTCCTTTTCTTCCTTACTAACAGAAACCCAATTTGTTCAGGACAGTGACATAGATATAAAACATAATATAATATATACATGCATATTAAAAGTAAAAATAAAAAATATACTTCCCATTGTCTTCAGTGTGTCACAGGTCTGGCCACATGATCACAAATCAGGATATGCTGCTGATTTATGAAAAAGCACTTTTTTTGATGCAAGGGTCATATTTTCTTGTGGCTTCATTCTTTATCCTTTTTAGAATGCAAGGATAAACATGGACAAAAAATACGGAAGCCGTATGCTAATGATGATGGAACAAGAAGGCAAGAGGAATCTGGGGCACTTGGACTTCAAGTAGCTGTCAAACCACTTCTCAACTGCATTTCTCTTTCTGACTTCTTGATATTTGAAAGAAATAAGTTGACCAAATTTCAGTGGTTTATTTTCCAGTAAGTTCAACCTAACTCAATGCCTAGGTTCAATTCTAGAGAAGAGAATCTTCTATAAAATCAAGCTTGAAATGTATATTTTTCTTTTTTTAATTAATTATGATAAGAAAACGCAAGCACGTAACATAAAATTTACCAACTGAGATCCATTTTGAAGTATACAGTCCCATAGTGCTAAGTATTTTCACATTGTTGTGCAACAAAACTTTTTCATGTGTTGTTATTTGAGGATTGGATCTTAGGAGATAATTAAGTTGAGATTAGGTTATGAGGATGAGGCTTCCATGATGGGATTAGTGCTTTCATACAAAAAAATAATAGTTTGTGTGTGTGTGCCCTCTTGTTCTCTCTCTCTCTCTCTCTCTCTCTCTCTCTCTCTCTCTCTCTCTCTCTCTCTGCTAAGTGAGGACACAATAAGAAGGCAGCCTTCTGTAAGTCAGGAAGAGACCCCCTTACCAAGATCTGGTCATGATAGCACCCTGATCTTAGAATTCTAGCCTCCAGAACTGTGAGAATATGATTTCTGGTGTGTAAACCACTCAGTCAATGCTATTTTGGTATGGCAGCCTGAGCTGACTAAGACAGGCAATACAGGAAATAACTTTCATGTCCATCAGTGGGACAATAATTGGATAATTTTTGAGCATTATTCATCTATTAAAAAGAATGAATGAGATGAATGTATTGATTTCATTGGTGTCCGTGATCCTTTTTAAGAGAGAAGAAAAGGAAGTTGTAAAGTGATGCATATGGATTGAACTTCTATTTGTAAATGAAATTAAAACTAAGCTAAAATACATGTATATTTTTATGTATAAACATACACACATAGACATATCTTATTTACCTATCTATCCATGTGTTTGCCTCTATCCATCCGCATTTGTCTATGAATCCATCTGATCTATCTAATGCTACTTATTAGTCTAGAGGAATGCTTAAAATGGCGCTTTCTTCTGAAGAGTGTAATTAATAGCAGGGGAAAGATTAATTTTATGCTTTATGTATCTGCATTGTTTTACTTCTTAAGCAGTTTTGTAATTTTACTTCTTAAGAAGTTTTGTAATTCAGATAGAAAAAATTTAGTTTTTTTTTATGGTGGGGATTTTAAAACACTTTACTATGTAGCTTAAGAATTAAAACACTCAAGAGAAGGTTGATCAGAGATATTTTCCATCTGAGTATTTCTTATCTCATCCTATCCCATATGGTAAAAAGGAATTCTCTCATACCTGGAGTATGCTATTATAAGTCCTAATTACAGAAAGCCTGTAAATATTTGGAAATTTATAAAGTTAATTGTATGATTTCTCAAAGCCAGTTATTATAAAGAGAAAAAGAAAATATATTATCCAAATAAACTGCTTGATATGTTCTAAAGCACTGTGTATTAAAAATAATGTTTATCTTCCATACTTCATCTTTTAGAGTTGAAAGATACACTCAGGGACCAAACAGCAAAGATCCCTTATTTTAAAGTTTAGACAAATGAAGCCCGGAAAGTATCCACAACTTGCCCACAGTCTACAATGAATTTGTCAGAAAAATGAAGACAGCAGTTGAAAACCTAGTGATTAGAAAACTATATGGAAAACTCTAAGAAAGTCATGTTTCATCTACTTGGTACACACAGTAAACAACCCTAGAACTTAGTGGCTTAAAACAATAGGAATTTGTTACTTTTCATGATCCATGGGTGAGGATTTTGGGCTGAGCTTGCTATGTGGTTCCTCTACACATAGTGTTGGTCAGGGATTTTCACTTGGCTGCATATAGCTCAAAGCTAGTTGCCTTGGTGCCCTTCCGTGCTTCACATGATGAGCGTGGGTTTCCTTACAGCATGGTGATCTAAGGATAGTCCAACCTCCTTCCAAGAAGGAATGTTCCAAGAAGATCAGCACCAATGTCTTAAAGCTCACACAAGCTCTTCTTTTGATGTATTCACTAATGCCACACTGGTCAGAGCAAGTCATGGGGCAGACATATGACTGTCAAACCACAGTCTATAAAAAAGAAGGCATAAATGGGTATAATTTTATGTCAACCTTTAAGCAACAAGGAATCCTAATTTAAAGGAACAAATGTGACTGCACTGGATTTTTTTAGTATAGGAGTTGGCAAACATTGGCACTAAGTCCAGCAGACTAAAATGTCACTGTGGTCTACTGGCTGGCACAGGGGCTTATGAAGGTCAGGTGGTCAATGCAGTTTTAGCTCAGATGTATCCCACAGTGGCTCCAGTGAGTCCCTGAACCCAGGCTGTGATTATTTCCCCATTTCTGGGATGCATGATTTAAATAGACATCCCCAGAAACTGGCAGAATTATCACATTCATTCCTTGGCCTGTGAAGTGAGGGTTATAGTAGTAGAAAAGGCCAAGGGAAATCACTAGAACAGCCTTTACCTAGGAAAATAGGAGGCCAAAAACTACATCACATGCCTAGAGGGATATCCGTGATGAATGCCACCAACAAGCACTGAAATTGTATAGATGTGGTAACTGCCATCACATTTCCATTCAACTCACCTATTTGACCAGTGTGGAAAATTGACAAACTAGGAGAAACACAGTGGATATTCATAAAGCTAAACCAGTTGGTGACTTCAGTTACAGCTACTGTACCACATGTGGTTTCATTGCTTGGGGAAATTAACATCTCTCCTGGTACCTCGTATGCAACTATTGATCTGGCAAATGCTTTTACGCTCACTATGCATTAGTAAAGTCTCAGTGAAGCAGTTTGCTTTCATCTGACAAAGCCAACAATACACCTTTACTGTCCTACTTCAGGGGTATATGGGCTGTCCTGCCATACTTCATAATTTAATTGATGGAAACTTAGATAGCCTTTTCCTTCCATAACAAATTACACTGGTTATTTGCACTGACGATATTATGATGATTGGACTGAATGAGCAAGGAGTAACAACTCCTCTATATTTATTGGGAAGACATTTACACGTCAGAATGTGGGAAATAAATCTGACCAAAATTCAAGTAACTCCACCTTAGTACAATTTCTAGGGATCCAGTGGTATGTGGCATGTCGAGATAGTCCTTCTAAGGCAAAGGACACATTGTCGCATCTCACCTCTCTTACAACCACACCTAGTGGGCCTCTTTGGATGTTGGAGGCAACATATTTGACTCTTGGGTGCATTATTGTAGCCCATTTACAGAGAGACCCTAAAAGCTACCAGTTTTGATTGAGGCCCAGAGCAAGAGAAGGCTCTGCAACAGCTCCAGGCTGCTATCCAAGCTGCTGTACCACTGGGGTCATATAATACAGTACATCTAACGGTGTTTGACGTGTCAGTGGTAAATACGGGTGCTGTTCAGAACCACTGACATAAAGCAATCATTTTATTTAGGTGAATGATAAGCACACTTTGAAACTTTTCACAAATTCTCCCAAATCTTTCATTTTTCACTCTGTACCTTTCACCTCGTGTGATGGTTAATTTTATGTGTCAACTCGACTGGGCCATGATGCCTCTATACTTGATTAATCATTATTCTGGATGTTTTTGTGAGGGTGTTTTGCTATGGGATTTACATTTAAGTTAGTAGACTTTGAGTAAAGAAGATTGCCTTCCATAATGTGGGTAGTCTTCATCCAGTCAGTTGAAGGCCTGAATAGAACAAAAGGATGACCTTCCCTGAAGCAAGATGGAATTCTACAGCTAACAGCCTTTAGACCTGAACTGTAGCATTGGCTCTTCTGGATCTCTGCTCTGCAAGTTTTGGACATTGCAGCCTCCATAAATACATGAGCCAATTCCTCAAATATCTTTCTCATTCACACACACACACACACACACACACACACACACACACGCCCTATTGATTCTATTTCTTTAGAGAATAATGCACTTGATTTCTCCATATTTTGTGTAAATTCTAGTTGTCCAGCAGGGCAGCCTTGAATAGCAGTATCAAAACTCTGTAAAAAGGTTAATCTGTGTATCTGTGTTCCCAAACTCTAACTTTCAATGCTAGAATCTCTGAAGTACTTGTTTGCTGCTGAGAGGCATTGGCTGACTTTGGTCTTCGGCTCCCACGTTGGTTTAAAGAAAGAGATCATTGTTGGGAATAAGATAACTCCAAAGAGCAGGATGAAGGGAAATCAACGAGTTGGCTCCATCAGTGATTGCTATAATTTTCTGATTAAGGTCTAATCTAGGAGAAAACCTTCCTGATTAGCTGTTTTCCAAAGGAAGATAACCCAATACTTGTCATTTCATTTTTTGCTCCACATGAACTATCTTACCTGTCTTATTGTTGAGATATGAGCAGTGGAGTTAAAATAAACTTAATTTTAATGTGTTTATTATTTGTTCAGATTTTTATTCAAACTTTAAAAGAAGTATATGCACCAATATTTATTTCTCTACTATGTTAGAAGAAAAAGATTCGAAAACTTTGGTCGAATTTTAAGGTTTAGCCACTAGATGGCAGTGGATAACTATCTTTCAGTTTGCTAACCTGCATTCAACTCCAGCTAATGTTTTCTATTGTCAGCTGGCAAATTGAAGACGGGGAATATATAAAGGCTATATACTGGAGATGTTGAACAAGATAGAGATTTTATTAATGGAGAGTTGAGCAGATTTTGTAATTCAACTGCTAGCAAAATTATTTTCTTTATTGTTATATATTTGTACGATTAAAAGGAGAAAATAGGATCGGCGTTGAAACGTACAAAAACATGGTCAGGCTAAATGCAATCAGCATTGACTAGAAGCGCTTATCTTGACCAAATGCTAAGCTGAGGAGAATGACTACAGCCTAATACATCTGCTGAGCTGCTTTGAAACATTGTTTTTGATCACATGTAAGAAACCCTTTGCATTTTCATGACACCTGCACCCAAGAACATTACCACTAGGGCTTGTGACTGTCAAGAGAGATCCTTTCTGCTGGAGTCTTTTACCTTAAACTGAAGAAAAAGTGATTCCTCTAGGAACATGTGCTTGAAGACTTAGGATTTAAACTTTATCACTGGTTGTCTCTATGTATTATATTTAACATTAGATTTTCCCAACTTATATAGAACATTCAGTGTGTTGTCTATGATGGTTTTTTGGGGATGGAGATACTGCAGGGTAGAGCTCTGGTTAGGAGTCATGTGATCCATGGGTAATATTATGTTGCTATCTTTTAAAAGAAAATTTGCAGAGGCAGAAGTCTGAGCTTAAAATTCTTAGTATCTTTAATAAGTGGAGAAGATCTGGGGAATAACAATAATGAAGCAATCCAAAGAACAATGTAGGTAATTCTCCCTAAAAACCTAGAGAAGGAAGTATGAAAAAAACCACTAATTTTGGCCAAGGGATACATAGGTCT